CCACTCATCATACACCACTCATCATACACCACTCATCATACACCACTTATCATACACCACTCAACAAACACCGCTCATCAGACACCACTCATCATACACCACTCATCATACACCACTCATCACACACCACTCATCATACACCACTAGTCATACACCACTGGTGAGATGACTCAGACTTCGTGGCAGGCGCAGCACTTTGTGAACCTCCATGTGCAGATTTCGTGGCAGGCACAGCACTTTGTGAACCTCCATGGCACGATTTCGTGGCAGGTGCAGCACTTTGTGAACCTCCAGGTGCAGATTTCGTGGCAGGCGCAGCACTTTGTGAACCTCCACGCGCAAGATTTCGTAGCAGGCACAGCACCTTGTGAACCTCCATGCGCAGATTTCGTGGCAGGCACAGCACTTTGTGAACCTGCAGGTGCAGATTTCGTGGCAGGCGCAATACAAAATGCGTTTTGGAGAGATAGCGGACGCACGAAATGCTGTATTTTTCAATAGAACCGGTGGCTTCAAACCTGGCAATTCTAGCTCTGCGGAACGACGGGCGCAAGACGGTCTCGGGTCATGCTCGGATCATGGTCGGGCATGGTCGGAATCGTCCCTCCATTGGGATTAGAGTTTTCACTTGTTTCTTGAAGCGCTGATTTCGTGGCAGGCACAGCGCTTTGTGAACCTCCATGTCCAGATTTCGTGGCAGGCGCAGCACTTTGTGAACCTCCAGGTGCAGATTTCGTGGCAGGCGTAGCACTTTGTGAACCTCCATGTGCAGATTTCGTAGCAGGCACAGCACTTTGTGAACCTCCATGTGCAGATTTCGTAGCAGGCACAGCACTTTGTGAACCTCCAGGTGCAGATTTCGTAGCAGGCGCAATACAAAATGCGTTTTGGAGAGATAGCGGACGCACGAAATGCTGTATTTTTCAATAGAACCGGTGGCTTCAAACCTGGCAAGTCTAGCTCTGCGGAACGACGGGCTCGAGACGGTCTCGGGTCATGCTCGGATCATGGTCGGGCATGGTCGGAATCGTCCCTCCATTGGGATTAGAGTTTTCACTTGTTTCTTGAAGCAGATTTCGTGGCAGGCACAGCACATTGTGAACCTCCAGGCGCAGATTTCGTGGCAGGCGCAGCACTTTGTGGAGCTCCGTGTGCAGATTTCGTGGCAGGCACAGCACTTTGTGAACCTCCATGTGCAGATTTCGTGGCAGGCGCAGCGCTTTGTGAACCTCCATGTGGAGGTTTCGTGGCAGGCACTGCTGAGAACTGGCGACTTTCTAGTACAACTTTAGTACGCGGAGCAAT